GGGAAATTCATAAAGGTACGAACCAACAAGCGACAGCTGAGGCTAAGACCAGATAGTAAAAACTAGGCATTCATTTTAAAAACAGTGGCAGCGCTTTAAAAGGAATTAGAACTTAATAGTTTTCAAAAAGTAACTTTAACCCCGAACGGGATAGCGACAGCATACGTTCCGCCTTAGAGTTGCGACCAGCGTCAACAACCATCGTGAGACAAAGGTCTTTAAACCATCATTTTCTGCTTAAACTATTTTTGAAAACCTAAAGACACCAGTGACCTATAGAATCCCTGAAGGAATAACATATTACATACCGATTCAAGCATTCATACCTTAAGTAAAAGCTTTAGTTTCCTTTAGTTTACGCACTTATTTTGTTATTATTCCCTTAAGACATTACCAACCTAGCTAAACACCGTAACACCCGATAATACTAGTTTGATTACGAGTCCCTGTGGGATCGATATCTATTATTACTACGCGATAGACTGTGCACTTGCAGTTCATTGAGTTAGACATAGAAAGTCGCGATCACATATCAATACGCAGCGTTTAAATAAATGAGGTGGCACACGCTTAGCCTTTAGATGAGTAGACTGGTAATCTGATCCAACAACTGTGATATTTCCTGAGTTTCTTATTTCTTTTAATTCATTTTATGATTTCTTTTATTGTTTTTATCATATAAAATGCATAAAAAATAGAATATTGATCAGAAAATTATGGAAAAAACATGTGAGTGACCTTTGTTTAATTCCTGATTTGTCCATGCTGTTGGATTCTATTTTGGTGTTGTTTTCAATTTAATGTCCATTTTTCTATTTTTAATAGTTGATTAAAAATGCATAGAATGACTTGTTGCTTGCTGATTTTATTACTAGTTCATACTTTGGAATTTGATGTTGATCTTTTGCTGGCTGGTAGTAGACACCTTGATGAGATTATAGGAATTTTATGGTGATTTTTAGGTAACTCTAAGCATAGTTTTGAACTAGGTTTTTAGAGCCTTCCCCACTTGAGCTTTCACTTGACAACTTTTGGTTTAGAATTTCCTTAGTGCCCTTAAACATTGATTTAAGCTCTGGATTTTTTACCATAGGTTCCCAATAACTTTAGAATCACTTAATATTTTTTATAGATTTTTAGGAGTTGATTTACTATTTTAGTTAGATTTTACATCTAGGCTATTTGTAGGATGCCCCTAGCATAGTACCTCCCATAGTTGAACTTCAAAAGTGACCTTTAGTTCATGATAAGTTTCCAAATCTTTTCTGATTGTTTAGTAGACATGTTGATGCCTCTGTAGATTGAATCTTAAGGTTTAATTTGGTGCATTAGTTCCCTTTAGAGAGTTTCTTTTAGAGCTTGTGGAATTAGGGTTTTTTAGAGCCTTTAGGAGTTTCTTCCCTTTTCATAGTTGTGGTTTGCTTTGGTTTGCATTCCATTTCCTATCCAATGATGCAAGGTTCCTTTGCGGGAGCCTAGTCCCTCCTTTGGAAGGACTGAAGGCCTACCACAAAAGGTAAAACCTTTGAGGATACCAATCTTAGATGAGTGGTTGAGTGCCATGATGGATTCCCTTGGTTTCCATCATGCTTCCCCTCATCATGCAATGATCTTTGTGTTGATTCATATCATCTCTTGATGGAGCAAGTTGAAGCTTGAAGATGAAGTCCTCATTCCCTTCTCTCCTGATGGATAGCTTGGACATATAACTTGGACTAGAAGACAGACTGTCGGACTGCTGGAGTGTTGTTGTGCTGCTCTGCTGTGTTTGCTGTTTAACTGTGTCTGTGTGACTGTTTATTTGGTGTGTTGCATTAGAATAGGCTTCCATGTAGTTGGTTCTAGGCCTAAGTGCATTGAAAGGTTGAGCTTGCCTCCCTTTGCTTGTTTGCATGAGAGGTTGAGTCTGTCTCCCTCTGCTTGCCTGTTACTGTGTGGCTTTGCTTGTTGGCTGAAGGTTGAGTTTGTCTCCCTTGCCTGTGTATTGTGTTGCTTTTGCGTGATTGCTCTAGAGGTTGAGTGAGTCTCCCTCTGCTTGTATTGCTGCATCGCATGTGCATCTTTACTATTTTCTTTTCTGTCTATCTGTTTTACTGATGTTTAGTTGATGTTGTGTCTGTTGTCTGTTTCCCACTTGACATGATCCCCTAGGACTCTCACTTCCTTTGATAAGGAAGTGATGATTAGACTTTAGGCTGAAGCCTTTGCATGATAACATCTAGGAGTTCCCCGTTTCAAACCTCAACCATAGGATGAATCCTTGGCATGACAACTGTTAGGACTTGATAGTTTCCCCTTAGTTGTGCCTTCTCCTTCTCATCTTCAAACAAATCAAAATACAGTAATAAAGGTTAATTGATATCGTACGTTACGAGCCTTAAACTACTTAGGAAATGGTTGTTGGAAGGTTTCCTTCCAATAATCAGGATGTTTAGTATGGTACCCTTTGGGTGACATGCGACGCATTCACTCCTAGGTCATAGTCTCTAGTGCGATATTAGTTGCAAACATCCATAAAAAACATTTCTTCCGTAACAGACAGAAAACAAATTTCAAACCTCTTTTTGCCCCGTGGGCCCATAATTCAAAGGAAAACTTTTCTGAAGAAAAGAGTGTCGTTAACTCTCAGTTCTACCGCAAAAGGTAACGCACGAGTCTCTGACGAGCAAGCTACATACACCAAACTGCTGAAACTGTTTGTTAACCCTACTCGGAAAAACAGATGAATCTGAACACCCATAAGCCGTATTATCCCGAACTACGTAAGCTCTGATCTCTCACATCGGTTGAGAGTACGTAGGCACAATACTGACGTATTGGCGAGCCACCTTCCTCCGTCCCGTTACCCGTAGTTAGCCGAACTACGTTGACTCTGATTTCTCGTTCTCTGACGAGAATACGTAGGCACGAAGCGCGATGCTTTGCCGAGTCGTTTTCTTTTCTTTTTAAGCCAGCCTTGATAGGTAGATAGATAAAACCAACCTGTCAGATAAACACAACAAGCATGGATCCCGTTGAGTACAACGGACGTGAGGGGTGCTAATACCTTCCCCTTGCGTAACCGACTCCCGAACCCAGACATGGTTGCGATGACCTTGTCTTATACCGTTTCGTCAGGTTTTTCCGATCGTTTCCTTTCCCTTTCTGTGGGATAAATAACGAAACGCGACGACTCTTCTGTTTTGTCGGCACCTTATTTTCGCAGTAGCGACACCTACGTCACTCACATATCAAATTAAAAAGTAACCAATCACTCACCTTCACTCCTATTTATTTGATCTTTAGAGTATACGTCACTCACATCAAATTAAAAAGTAACCAGTTACTCACCTTCACTCCTATTTATTCTTTAGAGTATTTGAGATACATCACAGTATTTGAGATACATCACATATTCTACGAAATAATTATCGCCTTACATTAGTCAGTCACTCACCTTCACTCTTATTTATTTGATCTTTAGAGTGTTTGAGATACATCACATATTCTGCAAAGTAATTATTGTCCTACGCCACTGACATATCAAATTAAAAAGTAACCAATCACTCACCTTCACTCCTATTTATTGGATCTTTAGAGTATACGTCACTCATATCAAATTAAAAAGTAACCAGTCACTCACCTTCACTCCTATTTATTCTTTAGAGTATTTGAGATACATCAAGTATTTGAGATACATCACATATTCTGCGAAATAATTGTCGCCTTACGTCAATCAGTCACTCACCTTCACTCTTATTTATTTGATCTTTAGAGTGTTTGAGATACATCACATCACTTCACTCTTATTTATTTGATCTTTAGAGTGTTTGAGATACATCACATCACATATTCTGCAAAGTAATTGTTGCCCTACGTCACTCACATATAAAATTAAAAAGTAACCAATCACTCAACTTTACTCCTATTTATTTGATCTTTAGAGTATATGTCACCTACATCAAGTAACCAGTCACTCACCTTCACTCCTATTTATTCTTTAGAGTATTTGAGATACATCACACTCACCTTCACTCCTATTTATTTTTTAGAGTATTTGAGATACATCACAGGATTTGAGATACATCACATATTCTACGAAATAATTGTCCCCCTACTACAAAATAATTGTCCCCCTACGTTATTCACATATCAAATTGAAAAGTAACTGTCGTCCTACGTCATTCACCACTCACCTAACTTCTATTTCAAATCACTTTTGATTCAGAAAAAAAAAATCACTTTTGATTTTAAAAAATCCTTTAATTCTCTTTAAAGTTAATTATTGGTCTACATACTATATAAGAGTAAAAAGATCATAGTTTGGCGAGTCTTATTATATATACCTTATGTTATTGGCCTTGTTTTGTTCACCAATTATAATATTCACATGGATTGGTCATTTTAAATTAAAATTGTTTCTGTTTATGCTAATAAATACATGGTCCGTGTATTAAGTTAAGTTGTAATTGAAAAGCAATAAAAACAGCAGACGAGAAACTGCTAATTTTTGTTCTGTTCTTAACTCTTGATGTTTGTTTGGTTCATATGGTTAAAATACAGACTATATTTCAATTACCAAATCCCTTTCTCTTACTCCTCCTGCGTCCCATACTATCTATGCCTACGGACACTACATAAATAAGTTATCAATTTTCAATCAGTAAGTGAATCAACTTAACAACTGGCTGATAAGTTTAACGTAAATTGTTGCTCAACAAGCAGTCAATTCGGAGACATAAGTTGCAATGCAGAACATGTACTCAGTATGCTTCGATACTTCAACAAATTATAAGCTTGACAAAACTACATTGGTGCTATTTCAAAACGATAAGACAATAACAAGCATGTATGCAAAGTATGTATATGATAATATATTATAAATCCATGTTTTTATTTATATAAGCACAGTCTGAGCCAAACTTGTTTATACATGGTGTAGATAATATTTTAGGGTGAGTTTACACAAGATATATAGTTATACAGGCTTAGACTTAGACCCACATATGAAGATAGATTCCCTAGTGCAACTTATTTGGTCCTGAATGGAGCTGATATGTTTGGCTTGGAACAACTTGAAGAACACCTGGTTGCTCTGCAAGTTAAGATACCCAACATTCATTATTAAAATGGAAACACTTTTATCAAAATGAAAAAAACTAAAAGAAATACCAAATCATGGATATACACAACACAACAACAATAATAATAAGGATTGAATATGTTTGTGTATATTGGTGAGAACAATTTTCATGAGAAACAATAAATCTAAGAACATATAAACATGCGTGAATGATCAATAGTAATAGTTTTCATGTTCAAGAGAATTACTGATGTGGCAAAAAGAGTATGATAGAACCAAAAACAAGGTTTTATAAACACTATCATTTGGCCTGTAATTTTAAACATTCTGAGCTTGGGAAGAGGAATCTATACTGTTTAAAGTGTATTTAGGTGAAAACAGATACACAGAACTTGGCAAAATGGTAGTATAAAGCCTTTTTCATAAGAAATCAGATAACCAAAAAACATTCAGACAATGTTCCCCAAAATATGAAGGATGTGAGGTAAGGATTTATCATGAATAAAAGAAAACAAAATCAATATGATACTTATAGGCTCTCTGAAGCACCGAGAAAAACAAAAAGAAATAACAAACAAAGGTGTGTCCAGTGTTTGACAGCAACCGATACTAATATCATACTATTTACACCTTACAATTTGTATTTTAACAATAGGAACCAAACAAACATCAAGAGCAGAAGATTCAAAAGGGTGTAAAACAAAATTAACATAAACAAAACTATTACCACAACGAAATTAAAAATGAAAAGACTTACTTGAAATTTGAGCAACCTGCTCAGGAGTAAGCTTAGCAGAGAAGCCAGAAGCTGCATTCTTGTAGCTATACAACAAAGCATCCTTTGCAGCCTCCTCGCTACAATAATCATTATTACACGAATCAACTTGATTTTGAAATTCTAGAATCAATTCTAAGCTGAAGGATTAATCAATAACCCAATTTTACTTAATAAATTTGTTTACATGCAAAATTAAATTCAATCTAAAATATCCAAACATCGTGAATGATTTCATAAAATCATTTTAGAATCAACTCCCTTATAACTAAAATCAATTTCACAAAAAATTGCAGCATAACCAAAATCGGATAAATTAGAATTGGTGAAGTGGAGAGAATAATGAACCTGCCAAAAACCGCAGTGAGGGTTCGGATGTGGTAAGCCTCTGGCTCCTCTTCCTGAGGCTTTTCGGTGTAGATGATGTGAACCGCGGGAGCAGAAGAAGATGAAGAATCGGAATCGATGGAATCCGACATGGCGATGATAATCAGGGAAAGAAGTGCGAAGATGATAAGGAACGAGGTTAGAGATTGAGAGGGTTTGGACAATAAAAGGTTCATGTCTGATTTTCGTTTTCGCTTTTTGGTTATTTATTATAGATAATCACTAGAAATAATAATAAATAAAATAAAATAAAATGCAGAGTACGAAAACACGGCTTTCAAACTGAGAAGGCATATACTTTTCCGTATACTTTTTCTGGGGGCAGTATGTCGGTGCTTCCTTGTTCCACGTCGGCGTGGCCAATCATCACACGACATTACAACTATAAAGAGGATATCAGATATTCTCCACTTCTTAAGGGAATGGAATCAACATTTCCTTATCTAATTGAATGACATGTGGCATAAAATGATATCAATGGTTAAAATATTTTTAAAAGACAAAAAAGAAAAATATAAAATATTTTTAAAAGATAAAAAAGAAAAATATATAAATTAAAACAAAGCATAAGCAATGCCACAAATGAAGTAGAAGTATACTACATGAGCGACAGAAAAAACTAGGCTGCTTCCGAAACAAACAAAATAATCAATGCTGAAAAAATATAACACCCACCCTGCATGAATAACAAACCAGTTGACACCATAAAAGAAGCCACCCACAGATAAATGCCTATAATTCAACAGCATAGAAATATCAGCCTGTTACATACAACAAACAAACTGCAGACTAAAAAGATAGAACTGTCCCATACACAACGAGATCGAACAGCTACCTCAGCCAAGCACTTGCCACAAGGGAAAAACAACCTCAAACCAACTGGAGGTAAAATTATGACTGAACCAACCAATTGGAGAATCGATCAATGACAATTAATTTGAATGCCGCGTACTTCTGGATGCCGATCTTCTAAACATGACCTCAAGAAGCTGAAAACAGCATTGCAGAAAAGAGAACCATGTGATAGCCAACAAAACGAGAACCGACGCCTCCTTACAACTAAGATGGAAAAACAAACTTGCCACACCTCAAAACTCCTATTTTATTGGTTGTCAATGCCTCCTCACCGAAATGAACACATAACGGAGATAGAGAGCGACGTCAAAGACATTGCGCATGACAGCTAACTAATGAAGACTCCTCCACAAATTTAGCAAACATGAAATATCAAATATGCTCCAAAGAGACCGGAAGAAACAACACTGGAGCAAAAGAACTGTCAAAACATACTCTAGAGCTGAGCATATAGAAAGCCCCTCAATCAAAACCAACTCCTACAAATGAAAGCTCTATCGTATAGAAGTTTTCAAAATAATAATTCTATATATATTATTCATTGATCATGATATAATATATATACAAAATAGTCCCTATAATTCCTCTTCTATTAAAAGAATGACAGTTGCACACATTAATTACAAATAAATTATTTACAGCATACAATATTTTCCTACTTAATATAACTAATAATATATTTGACTTATCTTAACACCCTACTCAAGTTGGTGTATGGATATCACACATCCCCAACTGGACTAAAGACTCATTAAACATCTTACTTGCCACTCCTTTAGTGAGAACATATGCTAACTGCAATTCAGATCTTAAGGAAAAGAAATTATTTCAGCTTCAAGTTTCTTTTTGATAAAATGTCTATCGATTTCTACATGCTTCGTTCTATCATACTGCACAGGATTGTGAGCAATTGTAATTGCTGATGTATTGTCACAATACAAATTCATAGTCTCATTTGATTCAAAACCCAAATCTGATAGAACATTTCGTATCCATAAAAGTTCACAAACTCCCAGTGCCATGCCTCTAAACTTGGCTTCAGCACTAGACCTTGCTACTACCGGTTGTTTTTTGCTCCTCCAAGTTACAAGATTCCCTCCTACAAATGTAAAGTAACCAGAGGTAGACCTTCTATCATTTCTTGAACCTGCCCAATCATCGTCGGTATACCCTTCTACCTTCAAGTTTTCATGATTTGAGAATAAAATTCCTTTTCCAGGAGTGGACTTCAAATATCTCAAGATCCTTTCAACAGCATCCATATGAGCTTTCCGTGGATCATGCATAAATTGACTAACGACATTTACTGCATACGTAATATCTGGCGGTGTATGAGATAAGTAAATTAGTTTGCCCACTAACCTCTGATATTTCCCTTTGTCTATGTTGGCTGAATTTTGGCATTGAAATAGCATATGGTTTTGTTCAATTGTGGTATCAACAGGTTTACACCCAAGTAGTCCAGTTTCAGATAGTAAATCAAGAGTATACTTTCTTTGACATAGAAAAATACCATGTTTAGATCTAGTTACTTCAATACCTAAGAAATATTTGAGGTTTCCAAGTTGCTTCATCTCAAATTCAGAAGCGAGGTATTTTTGCAAACTAGACATTTCATCTTGGTCATTCCCTGTAACAATCATATCATCTACATAAATAATCAAAGCTGTAATTTTACCTTCTCCTTTCTTCAAAAATAAGGTGTGATTAGAGTTACTTGCTTTATAGCCAAAAGCCTTCATAGACTTAGTAAACCTACCAAACCATGCTCTTGGGGATTGTTTTAATCCATATAGAGCCTTCCTTAACTTGCAAACTTTGAACTTATTTGAATTTATCATACTGGTGATAAATCCATATAAATGTTTTCTAAAATTTCTCCATGTAAGAAAGAATTTTTCACATCAAATTGTAGAAGAGGCCAATCTTGGTTTGCTGCCAGTGACAAAAGTATTCTCACAGTGTTGAGTTTGGCTACCGGCGCAAATGTCTTTTGATAGTCTACGCCGTAAGATTGAGTGTAACCTTTAGCCACTAGTCGTGCTTTATACCTTTCAATAGTTCCGTAAGCTTTGTGTTTAATTGTATAAACCCATTTGCACCCTACAGGCTTCTTCCCTTTTGGTAACGTCACAAGATCCCAAGTGTTGTTTTTTTCTAAAGCTGCCATCTCCACAACCATTGCTTCAGTCCATCTAGGATTTGCTAAAGCTTCCTGCACATTACTAGGAATAGAAATTGAGGATAATTGTGATACAAATGATGCATATGACTTAGATAACTGTGAGATGACACATAATTACTAATGGGATATTTAACTTTGGATTGAAGGTTTGGTTCATATCTAATGGGAGGTTGACCACGGTTAGAACGAGGTGAAAGATTATATTGGACAATAGTGGATTCAAATGTTAGGTGTGTTGGTGGCCTCATGAAAACTAGAGTCAATTTCATGAAAAAAGGAATCAACTTCAGAATGATCATTAGTATCAACTCCATTTATAATTGTATTATCAGGAATAGAATCAGGAAATATCTCTGGAGAGTCAACTTGATCTTGTGGAGAAGATTGAGCTAGTTGATTATGATCAGAGGAAATTGTATTATCTAAAGGTGATATGTCCATATTTGAGACCAATTCATTACCTGCAGAATGATCCTCACAAGATAATCTATCTTCACAAAATAAGTCAAACATGATAACATCATGGTGCTGCACTTCACTTTCATTCCCCCCTTGAAGTGTAGAATCGACATAAAAAAAGTTATCTTCATGAAAAGTTACATCCATAGAAATATAAAATTTTTTAGATGATGGATGATAAGCAAGATAACCTTTTTGAGTTGACCCATACCCAACAAAGGCACATTTAAGAGCTCGTTTTTTCAAGTTTTGTAGGTTGATGTGGGTGTAAGTGAACATATATAACACATCCAAAAACATGAGGCAGTAAATTAACAATGGAAGGGAGAACGTGATGATCAGATAAAACATCTAGAGACCTTCTAATGTTATGCACACTAGAGGGGGTCCGATTAATTAAGTAAACTGCAGAATTCACAACCTCGCCCCACAAATGAGATGGAACATTACCATCAATTAGGAGTGTTCATGTCACCTCTAGTATGTGCCTATTTTCCCTCTCGCCCACTCTATTTTATTGGGGGGAATAAGGACATATTGTTTGATGCAAAATGCCTTTAGAGTTCAAAAAATCTTTTAATTCTTTCTTAAAATATTCCCCTCCATTGTCGGATCTAATTACCTTAATACATGTGTTAAATTGTGTAACTATCATTTGATGAAAGGAGTGAAACACATCATAAACATCACTTTTATGTTGAAGCAAATATACCCAGGTTACCCGTGTACAATCATCAACAAAACTAATAAACCATGTTTTCCATTATGTGTAGATTGTGGAGCAGAACCCCAAACATCAGTGTGTACTAAAGAGAAAGGAAAATCTATTTTCTTATTACTTAAGGGAAAAATAGCACGATGACTTTTTTCCATTACATAAGTTTCACAAAGAAAATCTGAAATATTGCATTTATGAAATAACGATGGAAATAATTTTTTTTAGATAACTAAAAGAGGGATGCCCCAATCGTATATGCCATAGCCAAATAATTTTTGTATTTTTATCTTGTATGTGATCACTTGCAATATGAACCAATGCTCCTTTATGGATTTGTGAAACTTTTTCAAGATAATACAACCCTTCACTATATCTACCACTGCCAATCTTCTCCTTGGTATGTATATCCTGAAAAATACAGTGGGTTGGATAAAACACAACAACACATGAATGTGATTTTGTTAATTTACTGACAGAGATAATATTGCAATTCAAGGTAGGGACAAATAAGACATTAGATATTGATAGTGAGGGTGATATGGTCACTGTACCAACACCTTCAATGGGAGATTTTACTCCATTGACAGTAATAATAACAGTTTTATGACAGTTAGGAGAGAAATTAGTAAGCATATGTTGATCACAAGTCAAATGATCAGTAGCACCTGTATCGATTATCCAATCGCTATTTCTAATAATAACAGAAGGATTATAAGCAGAGTTAGACATACCTGACTTGGTTACAAAACCGGGAGCAGTAGAAAGATGAGCCTTGTTGTTTTCTGTCTTATTTTTGTTCTGTTCATTCAACGACCATTCGACGTAGTTAGTGCCATCAAGCCGTTCTGGGGTGAGTGCATCGTAGATTTGGACAACAACGGAAGTTCCAAAATTCTCCAATTTGTTTTTATCAGAAGCCATCATTGAATTGCTTCAGTTGTCCAATCTTGAGCGTGAGG